CAACAGAAAGTATCTTAACGTACATAAACAATAGCATGCCGAACTGTTGCGATTCGAATCAAATCAAAACAAAAACAACAACGCAAGACCAGCAATGATCAATTTCGAAGCTTACAAACAACCCGCCGAACGCATGGTTTCTGAAATTTCTATTTAATTCTATTGAAGAGTTGCGATAATTTATCCTTATGAGATTTGTTTTACGTTATATGGATTTACATTTTCAGTACTTCTACTAAGTTCAACGGAAAGCTTCATGTCTAGAACGTTTTAAGTTCCACCTCAATATTACTGATCACTTTTTTCAGACAACAACCTCACCGGTAAAATTTTCAGAAAACATTATTTATATTAAAGTTTTTGAAAAGTTCTTTTTTATTTTGTCAGTAAGCTAATATCTTACAAATATATTTTCTTACAAAACAGTTATTTTTATAATCTACTTCTAAAATAAGCTAAATTAAAGTACTGTTTCTGGTATAGTAGCTAAGACAATAATAATAATAATCACAGTACTCTCTCTTTTTCTGATCACAATGGTATGCATGCCTTCCATTTAAGAGTGGATAAAAGAAAAAAGAACTTTATCAAAAATAAATAATATTCCAATATAAATAATGTTTTCTAAAAACTGCACCTGAAAGGTTATACTCTAAGAAAACTGAACAGTAATATTGCTTCACTGGAGTTGAGATAGAACTTGAATGGTTCTAGGCAATCTACTACCACATATCAGTGGAACATGAACTAAGAGATGCAGATGTTTCTTGGTATGTCTGGTAGGATATTTTCAAAACAAAGGCTCTATCAACTATCTAGAAAACGGAATTACTTATATATCCCAAAATTATGAAGTAACAGTTTTGACATGCACATTCTGTTCTTTAACAAATTTTTTCAGTCTAGTGTGATATACCGAACAAACATTATCTTAAAGACCAAAAGTCACTTAAGTGTTGCTCACATATTTCTTTTTATTGTTGCAAATTTCATATTAAAATATTTCTGATTAAGTTTGCATTTCTTGATGGTTCATGATATTGGCTATAAGAAGAGCTTATACTCGTATCATCATAATTTTTATTAGGAATTTTTGCTGATCAGAAGGAATGTGAAATTGATACTTGGAGATATTTATTTATTTTGTTTCTGATGACGCAAAGTAATTTTCAATACTTGGGCAGTGGAACTATTAAAGTTCGACGCGTTACTTTATTTAAATTAAATAAATTTTATATCAAACTATTCGTTGTTTTGTTACTTCAGTTTTAATATTAGCAGAGATACAGATATTTCATTCTAAAATAACAGGATGAACTAACTTTATTTGATATTCTTACTTTGACGAAGCGATTGTTGTTAGCGACAAACAAATGGAAATATGTCACTAGAAATAAATAGTCTTAATCGAGTTTAACTTAAATTATTAACTAGTTTCTTAACGACATGTACAGATCTAATGCTATGTTCAGATTATTGTACTAGACTCAGAATATGTCGAATGTTCGAATATGATTTCTATAAAAATCCGTACAAAATATAAAAAGATGCATAAAGGGTTTGATAATTCGAACTGTAAGTATTGTATAAAATATAATTAATACAACTCTAACTTGGTGACGTTTTAAGTATCACTACAAAACATCCACTCATTTAGTCTAAATCTAACCAAATGATCTTAGAAGTCATCTTAGAAAATGTTTGAAATATAAAATTTATATTAGATATAAATTAGTTTAAAACAACAAATAATAATTGCGTACATTTTTAAAGATTTCCTTCAGTTTTTTAAGTGCTGTTATTGCATCATGTATAGTGTGGGTTCAAATCCTACTATGGCTTGATCCGTTCTGGTTAAAAATAGAAGATCAAAAATCTTTTAAAACTGGTTGTTGTTTTCGCTTCAGGAATTGAGCTACAAACACTCCATAACTCCATAAAAGGAATCTTTTATTATTCTTATCATGTCACATCTTTATTTCAGTTCCATCTGGTACTGATCTCTATCAATATTCTGCTTCAGGAATAGATTTTCAAACACTCCATAACTTTGTAAAAGAGATCTCCTATAATTCTAATCATGTTACATCTTTATTTTAGTTACATCTGGTACTGCTAGGGATCAGTACCAGATGGCTTTGATTGAACGTATAACTATTATAAATATTGACATTATTGTGATTATGGAATTTTTAATTTATTTTCTTTCTAACGACAGAGTCGCATAATTCAATGCCTTGAACTCAAAGCCTTGAACTCAAAGCCTTGAATTATAAGATTCCATTCTTCTTCTTATTAGTAGTCTAGTGGGCCATAGGGCCGCAACGATTCTCATAAACCGCACTCTGTTAGTTGCTTCTCTGCATATATCGTTCCATGTGTAGTGCGCTTCTGTCTATTCTCTTTCAATTGTTCTTCTCCAATTGAAAGCCGGTGGTCCAGGTCGTCTACTAGCTTGTGGATTTCATGTCAAAGTTTGTCGTAAAATATATTTATTTGGATAGTATGCTCTATCCAATTCCATTTTCGCATTTTTATTTCGCTTACAATAGCTTTCTGATTTGTTTGGAGCAAAAGTTCTGTATTTGATATGTGGCTAGGCCACCATTTTTCTTGGATTTTCCGCAGGCATTTATTTAATTTATTGATTCCATAAGAATCTTATATTGTATTACTAAAGATATATCGCAATAATTTTTAACTTTAAAGAACATTAAGTTCTTTTATAATTTATGATTGAATTTATTATAACTTATTTGCGCAATATGGAATTGCTAGAAAAATCGATTGTTCTTTATATGCCTTGATATAATATACAAATTCTTATGATTTTACTCTTTTTATTGTACCCGTATATGTGCAAATTTTTAATCTACCATGCCTGTCCGGTCGTGCAAATCATACCAAATCCAATCAATCGTAGCGGATATCTAATAAATCCAAAAACTATTTTTATCTGACGTTGAAGAAAAACCCAACATGACTGGTGGTGACGATTGTGACTTGGACGAAAGCAGTTTGAAGCTGCGTGCCGATCGCACCAGAGTGGCGATGAAGAAACGACCTTGTTAACTTAAAATTGGTCACTTTACGGCTTGGCAAATTAGCCAATTTGTGAAGAAACCGCTTTGCGTTTTGTTCCATTTCAAATTCAAATTTCATTTCAAATTTTTGCAAGACTGAATGCCCATTGACAAAAGTTGTTTATTTTCTTAAAAATAATAAAACATAAAAAGTATAATATTGTAAAATGACAAAATGAAAAAATTTTATGAATTTCTAATATAAAGCGGCATAAATTAGAATAAATAATTTTTGCCAAAAATATTTTTACTTAATAGTCAAAAAACAGCAGGTCAATATAATCTTTAAAATTTTTTATTATCATAAGATTTTTTTTATTAGTTAATATATGTAAACGTAGTGATGGAATATTTGTTGTTATGGACTCTAGTGTTACTATATTAAGGCTTTATAATAGTTAGCGTCGCCAAAGACTCGCCCACTCGTTTAACATATTTATTTACATTTGTAATTTAAATGTTAATATTAATAAATGATTTGATTAGTAAAAAATTCAGATTTTATAAAATTTTGTATAGATTAAACTTTGTGTTTTATTACTACTTAAACATAATTAAATTAATAAAATGATGTTTTTTTAAACGTGTAACTCTAAAACATGTAATAAATTAATAATATTCTTAACATAAGTTATAAACACAATTATTAATTATTAATTATTGATATTATTCGTTCTTCAAAGGGAAGTGATATTAGTTAACCATGCTACCATGAGAATACCAAGTGTATGGGAACTATGAAGTTATTTTGTAAATCATTACCGATATTTTTGGATATAATTTGTAGTAATTGCTACATTGAAGTTGTTTTAAGATTTACCAAAAATGAAGCTGTATGGTACCTTTTTTCTTGTAGTTCTTGTAGATTAGAAAGTAACTGAAATGGTTTTGAGGTCAAAAATAGTTATTTGACTGAGGTTTCCCTCTTCATGTCTTCCGTTTTTTCGTTTTCGTTTCGTTTTGTTTTACTTTAATTTTGCAATCCAGTCTCCTATTATTTTCTCCCAAATCATATAAAAAATTGTGCAATATTTTAAGGTTTTTATGTTTAAATGCGGTCATGTTGCGCGTGATGCCCCGAAGGCATTTTATTGTTTGCTTCATTCTGTTAAATACATTTTTATATAAAACAACTAAAATTAACAAAATATATTTCTTTCGTTCACTTCAAATATATGAGAGACATTTATAAACTTCAAATTTTCTAATACAATATATTTTATTAAATTTGTTATTAATTACTAACATTAATTTATTACATTATGCAAATGAAGTCAACACAATGGACTCGCCGCAATAATTCGGTTAAGTAAAAACTTGAAGTAAAAGCTAAAATAGCAAACCAATTATGATCATTAAGAAAAACTAATATAATAACAATTATTACTTAATAAAATAACAACAAAATAAGTAATTGTCAATTTAACAAAATTTATTTTATAAAATATTTTGTTTTAATAATTAAAATGGTGTAATACGTCCATTAAGTTATTGCCTTGTTTTTGGATGGCAGTTTTTGGTTAGCAAAATTATTTATTTGTGTTAACAAATCACTAAAACTACTATGAGTATAGCCATGGGGTAGGGGCGTCAATACGACAAAGATTCATATAAATAACAATATATTATTTCGTTATAAAAGTGAACCTGGGGGGTCATTGCGTTAATCTCCCCTGGCTATGCCCATGGTAACTATTACAAAAGTCATTTCTATCATGCTGTTAAGTGCTTCGCTAATAGTTCCTCAAGAAATTATTTCACTAATGTAATAAGTAATCTCGTTATTGTGGGTTGTAAGAGATTGATTAGAAAAATAAATAATTATTCAAGTTTATAATAAAATAATAAGCTTAGTTGTTCAGGGATATTTAACAATACATTTAGTTAAACTTGTAGAATTTTATTATTAAAAAATATACTTCAAAAAAATACTCCTGTTCTATACATCTAATACTAATCTACCGTCTAATGAAATTATTATCTGAAATTAGATAACAGTTCTGTACTCCAAAAAGAAGTAAAAAATATAAACAATATTTGATTTATACACATCTGTATAAAAATAATTGAAATAATTGTGTTTATTCTTAATCAGGTGAATTCTTGGGTTAATAGCCATATCAAATATCGTTTAATAACCACCATAATTTGTATTTGAAAACATATATTGGTTAA